ACTTTGTCCGATAATAGACTTACTAGGCTTAAAAGATTCATCTCGTGATTTACAACCAAACTATGTAATTAATTATTTTTTTTACCTACATTTAATGCTAAATATATGTGTCTAAAAATTAATGTGATGAAGAAAGAGTGAAAAAACTTGGAATTTTAATGGGATCTAAACAAGGACCTAACGTGTTTTTCTTTCTCTGTAGTGGTCTCCGCAACTGCTCCCTCATCGCCACAACGCAGCTCCGATTCACTGCTCCTCCATCTTTGCGTCAGACGAGGCTGTTGGCTCTTCTGCAGGAGCCTCTGACGCTCTGCAAGGCAACAAGTTGATGTGACATGGAGCTCTACTGCATACGTGGACACTGGAGCAGCACGACAGGTCGTGATGGAGCGTTGGGAAGCCCTAACAGATCGGAAGCCTGCAAAGCACGGTAAAATGTGGGCCTCTAAAATGGGTGTTGGATAGGTGCAGTGTCACGCCGCTACAAAGTTGGAAAATGTCGGTCTCCAACAGTATGTTTGGTTCCAAGGCCCTGCTGGCGTCGTCTCCCCAAAGAATCCGAATACAACATGATTGAGCGGCATCTATTACACTAAGTCCGTTTGGTACAGATTCTCCTATCGTTCTGGAGCTATTATACGCGTTGGCGTACCAAATGGATAAAGAAACTGCTGCTCCTCCCGTGAATCTCTGGAAAATCCGGTCACACAAGCGCCCGGTGACTAGTGAACCTGAAACAACTAGCTTCGCCCAGCTCCTCCGTACGAACGCACGGGCCGTGCGAGCAAGGCGCGACAGATGTAGATGCCGGTCGCCGGAACAAATGGGCCGGAGCGGGAGTAGTCGGCCGTCGTGGACTTGCGTCTAGGTGGAGTAGCGTGCGGTTGCGAGGGTAGCCGGACCGGAGCGAGAGTAGCCGGCCAGGGCGAAGTCGCGTGCAGTCGAGGGGGGGAATGGGGGTGCACGGCTGCCATGGCATTGTGGTCACGGGGGCATGCAGGGAGGGCCGCCGACGGAGCCGCGTGGAGGGGCCCGGGCGCCGAACCTTTAGCCAGAGAAAGGTGCATCCATACAGAGCCCCTTTCGAGCGGATAACGAGACGAGAGATAAGAACAAGAAGTACGAGAAAGAAAAAAAGAGGGAAAGTGGTGTATTTCTTACATTTCACATTTTTATCTACCACGAGAGAGCAGTTTTACTCGATGTTTTACCAAAACAGCTTTCTCCCCACCGGTGAAACTGAAACTGTTGTAGAAGTTGTCAAAAAATTGCTTCACCAATGAACACAGCCACGTGTCCAATGGCCGCACAGTCACACACTTCACTCCATATCAGAGATATGGTCCTGTTCGCTTATCTTATGAGCCGTTCTGTCTCAGCGAAGGAACAGTGTTTTCCTCTCACAACAAATCAGCGAACAGTACTTTCAGCCATGACTTTTCAGCGAAACGAACAGGGTCATAGATTGCATAGCTGCACAGAAGCACACGGGTTACTAATGTATTATTGAATTTTTAATTAGCCTTTTTCATGTGGTTATTTCCTTGCCTAGCTGATTTGAAGTTTTTTTTTCCTCTCGTGAACCTCTTCTATGCATGTCAGCTTCTTAAGCTCCCTTTTCTCGCAAGAATTGCTCATAAATATCTCTAGTTAGCTCTTCTTAATCCCTCTTTTCTTACATAAATGTTCTGTCGGTGTTTTATGACCGGCAACTCGTCGCGGGATTACCCGGGACGATGGTTGGTGGGCTTCGGCGTATGCAGAACTCGACGGTGAACGCAGAGACAACAATTTATACTGGTTTGGTCCACCGGAATAGCGTCCTACAACCAGTGTGGGTGAATAGTATATTGCGCCTTGCGCTTAGGGTTTAGACCGTGAGGTCTGTTCCTATTCGGTTATACCGATCTAGGGAGCCTTGCCCTCCTTTATATATCCCAGGAGGCAAGTCTTCAAGTCGGTTACAATGTAAGAGTTCTAGTAGGATTATAGGATAGCAAGTTACTAGGATTACATGTGGAGAATCCTAGTCAGACTAGATCTTCTCCCTTCCTTGCAGGGTACCCGGAGATTATGTCCCACAAGCCCCCGAGCACTGTATGGTTGAACTTTGCAAGCCTTCTTGTTTCTCTAGGTCTTGTCGAGTAGAAACCAGCGTTGTCCAAGTGCTTTCATGAGTGAAACCATATAGTGCTTCTTGAAATCTTCGAGTGGTGTGCACTTTTCGAAAAAAGTGCACTCAGTGTAGCCCCTGAGCCTCTTACTGTTTGGAACAAAGAGTTTGAGGGTCTTGTCTGTAATTCCTTTTCAAAGAAATTCGAATACAACCTCTGAGAATATGTATCCCGCAGCCCTCGATCCTACAATCCGACTACTCGGTAGTCGATTATAGGATCTTATAGACGTCCTCAAGGGTGCAGGCGAGTAAACCCCCGAAGACAATGATCAATGACCGCTTGTCATCAAGTGGTTGAGTGCTTGTAAATTTGATCTTTCATTCTTAAATCCGAGCCCCCGAGCGTAGTTAGAGTGAAGCCGAGTAGACCGTGATAATGCCGAGTGGAACAGCCAACGTGTCGTGACAGTATGCTGATCTTGCCTTAGAGTTGGGTTTACGAATGAGCAGCAGTTCATCAGCCTGTTCGTTTGGCTGTGGCTTGTCGTAAACGATCGTAAATTTTCAGCCGGAATAGTATTTTTCTCTCACACAAACTAGTCAGCAGTACTTCTTCACGAACCAGCAATGAAACAAACCAGCCAACCGAACAAGCTGCATATGCGTACACACGGATGGCTGCAGAACTTGCTGCAGTTGGCTTTGTGTGGGATGTGTCCTGCACTGCCCATGGTTGTGTTATATCCGACTTGAATCAGCATACTTGTTGTCCGCCGACTAACTTTGTGTAGGCCTAGTAGTGCCTTAGTTGTCTGCAGCTGTCCGCTGAGTTACTCTCAGATGCTCTTATGTATCCGATTAGATATATATTAGTCCATCACGCGCGTCATCGCGTGCGCCGGCAAATCACCTGGTTAAGGCGTAGGGAAAAAATATGTTTAATCTTTACATGAAAACAATATTAGGAGTCTAATGTAGATATGTCAGGTAAAAAAACGAAAGATTGGAGCACAATAATTAGCATACCTTGAGCCTCATCATAGACCTGCAAGCAGAACTGTACGTATCATAAATAGGAACTCATCAATAGGATAACAGCCATGCCGTGTTCTTAGTGATCAAGCACACTGATTTCGAATGAGAGAGATATGTAAAAATAATTTGGAAATCAGCGTATCCACCTTGTAAGCTACTCTCTCCATTGCAAATTATAAGACGTTTTTGCTTTTTAGATACATAGATAGTAGATACATGACAAAAGTAATTTATGTAGAAAGGACAAAATGTCTGCATGTTTGTAACTCAAATATTAGTTAAGCTAAAGCGAAATAATTAACATGACGCTGACCACATCACAAGCAGCTAGCCCAGGTTGCAATGCAGTGCTTTATAACATGAACAACTTTTCCTTTAGCGATAAAGAACTGGCCTTGTAAAAAATAGTGTTAAAGAACTCGATAAATAAGCAGTGAATTTTGGCAGGGCGTTCTTCCAATTTGGGGTAAAGGATCAAGCTATGGAATGTAATACAAGGCAAAAGCAGAAACCTAAAATGAGCCGGAGATGGTTTTGTCATCCTAAATGAAGTTTATTGAGGATTCACTCTTCGAGCCACAACTAATGATCCTATTTCAATTCAATTATCCGATCCATGCAAGTTAACCAATACTAGATTAATCTCTTAAGAACTCTAGCTACAGTGGGCATGATCGGCTGCACTCTTTCCAGCTGCAGCCGATCAGGTTGAGAGTATAGACTATTAGGCTTGTCTGTGTATTTTACTCGTATGATTGGTCAGCACAATACATACAAACATATTGTATTGCCTAAGAAGAATAGTAGATAAGTGCCTCGGTGCTGCAGCTTGCCAAAAGTTTATTATCTAGCAGGATGCAGCTCCCTCGGTTGCCAATAGCATACTGCTTAGGCAACTGCTAACCTAACATTGCTTTCAATAGTGGTTTCTCACAACTGAATCATTCTCCCGAGCCATAGTATCTGCTCCAAAGTCAAGGCAATAAATCTGACCAGCATGCTTGTCAGCATTTCTGTACTTCAAGCTGTATTCTGAGATGAAGTCATCGCATGTTTTGTTTAGTCAAGGTGCTGCTGCTTCCTCTTCTTGCAAAGAGAATGGACTGAGCAGGAGATAGATGAACCCATCGCACGGCTTATGTCTGGCAGGCCAATGCTGCTGTTGGACAGATCTCAAATTAAGACATAGGGAATCTTCATTTGAATAAGCAAAGAATAAGAAACTATACATTCCTTTTTGTTCTATGCACAAACTAAGAAATTGTGAGTTCCTATAAGACAGCCCAAAACACAGTTCATTGTACAGTTTGTCTGATAAGTAGACTCAATATTACATGGAGACCGCCTATAAGACAACACCAATGTTGCACAGATACAAAATGATACTTGGACACTGTCTAACACAAAAACAGAATGATTTTCGACCTCCTGTGTTGTGTGGCAGCCAAACCAAACTCATTGAACTTACCAGTTTTGCATGGCAAATGGAGATCTAATAAGCCCTAGCACTAGCATTTTATCATACTACAGCACTAGCACTACGCCATGTTATCCAGATCCTACCACAGTGAACTATTCTTTGCCAGACTTGTTTGTGTACATAGTTAATGTTTATCACAATTGTTGCACATCTAATTAAATACTCCTTCCGATAGTCCGATCCCAAATTTAAGTACATTTAACATTCTTCCAAATGCACCAGGGGTCCATGATAACTCTAGTGCACCTCCTAGCTTCATCTTCCATGTCTACCCCTACTTAAAATGCATACTAATCCATGCAGCACACTTTCCACTTATCTTAACTATAGCAAAGATAGATGTGCAATATAGTCATTGTACCACTCAACCTAATTCTTATGCCCAAGGCCAACTGGACTCATAATGGGGATTTTAGGGACTAGGGAGCATGCTTTAATTTCCACACTAAGGATACAACTGAAATGGAACTTGCAATTCTGATTCTAAAAAAGTGTAAACATCTGGAATGTTCAGGATAAATAGATATTCTAGTGGATCACAAAATCACACAGATGGCATATCATATCATGCTTCTCGACCATCGAACTCGAATCAAATTCAAAAGATTTGCACAGCAATTATTTGCAGATACCAAATTTTGTATAGCACCTCATAAAAGTTACAGTAAAGATAAAGGCGCAATAACATACCGATACCTTCTTGCTGTTTTGCTTTTCCTCCAAGTCTTTGAGCGCCCGATCCATCCGCTTCCTGCAAAATAGCCAGTCCCACAAGCTCAAAGACAACAACATGACGGCACTGTGTGAGCTGATGAAACCACAAATGAGGCCAAATGAAAGCGACTCACAGCTCTGCGGAGATGTACTCGATGCGCTTCTTGACGTTGGCCTTGGCATCCGCGAGGTCCTGCTTGACCAGGACCAGTCCGATGAGCTTGTACACGTTGGCCCCGTCACCGAGCAGCTCCAGCTCCTGCAAGCAAGCAGCCACAGCCGCGAATCGATTAAGCCACTCACGGCGAAGAAATCACCAAAACCTTGAGAGTTATTAAGAGGCGAGGAAGCTGCGTGGGGTGCGGTGCGTGCCTTGAGGACGAGCTCGTTCTCGCCGACCTGGATGGTGTACTGCTTGCGGACCTGGTGATTCTTGGCAATGTCTGCGAAAGGAAGGAGCAGCGGAAGTCAGAGGAGAGAGAGGTAGATAGGGTTCGGAGGCGGCGGCAAGGGATTGGGGAGAGCGCGTGCCTTTCTGGATCTTGCTGAGGGCGCCCAGAGGTCGAAGACGACGGAGCAGCCTTGAGCCCCCAAGGACCCAGTGGACGGGCCCCTTTGACAGAGCGGAGTCGCCGATGCCAAGATTGGCGGGGGCTCCTTCCCGTGCAAGGCCGCGGAGGAGCGTAGCCGGCGAATGGAGGCCGGTGCAGGCGGAGGCGGACGGCGGAGCGGCAGGGCCACAAAAGCGACGGAGTTAGAGTTTGGTGGCCGCAACAAAGAGGTCCCACAATGACAAAAGCGAGCCCTCCCCGCCGTGGCGGGTGGCCCAGATTGAGCCGGATCCGCCAGGCTGGGGGCGCCGCCACGCCAGCGCAGGCGGCGATGGCTGCGGCATGCGCCGCCGCCGCCAGCGACTAGGACGGAGAGGGAGAGCGGGAGGGAGCGGACGAGGGAGCGATGAAGAGAGAGGAAGAAAGGGGGAGAAGCCGGGAAGGGGGATCGGAAGCGGCTATATATATTTGGTGGGCTGGCTCCGAAGTAGAATCCGGACAGCAGCAGAGGGAAGCACGGAAAAGAGAAGAAGCCGACCCAGAATCCGCTCCCGGCAAAATCCGTTTCAAGCAACGGTGGCCATCCGATGGAAGATCCGACGGACGAGGGAATTTCGGACGACGTGGCCACGCTGGTTGGCGGCCAAACTCTCCCGGTTTGATAATAAGAGATGCATCATCGGAGTAAAGCTTTCATGTAGATGCACATATGCCGGGCACGAGTATGTATGTATGCATGATTTAAATCACACAGCTTGCTAGCTTGTCCTCATCATGCATCTTCGTGTTGCTGGACGAACAGAATCCCGTAGCCGTGCGTGAACAGTCATACCAGTCGAGGCTTGCAAGAACATGATGAATTCTGGCGTATGATGGTTGTCTCTTGTCAATCAGCGTCGAGTAGCAGTCCGTGCACGCGATTGTGAAAGTGCTGACGTCACTCGCCGGCAGGGTTTTAGGGCTGGATATGGAGCCAGCAGCTCGGCTCGGCTCGGCTCGTTAATATTACGAGCTAGAGGGACAGCTCAGCTTGGCTCGTTAGCGAGCTCGAGCTGGCTCATTTAACTCGGAAGCTACTAAAAAATAGAACACACACGTTCGTAATATTCATGCCACAATAATTTCAAAAGGTGACGTTCACCATTATGCAACCATACATGATTAATACGTATCAGGTTCATCAAAAGTATCAATCATGCAACATAGCTAGTCCATCCATGATCCATGCAGTTCCAGCATACTTACTAGTTGTTTGCCACCACAGACTTAGAAAAGTCCACAAATTCAATGTCAGCATCATCATCTTCTCCCTGAAAAACAATCCATAAATCAACATTTAAGTACCACAACAATTATAAAATCAAAATTCATACGAAGCAGCTGAAAATAAGGATTACATATCAATGGAATAGGTGTACACTTTTAGGTCAGCATCATCATCTTCTGGATTAATGATCTTGGGCTGATAGGCCTCAGCTCGTTTGAGCTCGTGAGCAGTTCGTGAGCTGGCTCGTTAAAACATCGAGCTAGACTTCCAGCTAAGCTCGTGAAAAAGTTAAAACGAGCCGAGCCGAGCCGGACACGAGTCGAGCGAGTTGACGAGCCATGAGTATTTTATCCAGCACTAAGCGTTTCGGACCATGACTTAGCTTGTCTGATCTTGGTGAACGTGGCCTTTGTGCTTTTGTCATATGGAAAGGCATGGTGCTGTAGATCACACGTCTTCCCTTCATCCCTTGTTTGCTAGTCGACGACGTGATCCATCCACGTTGCAAGGCCCTGATGGTCGACGTGTGCTTGGTTGGGACTTTGTCGTGCATGCATGCAGATTTGCTTTCATGAAGAACTCAGCTAGCATGTGGTTAACGTTGGTTGGCTCTTGGAGACTCCGTGTGCTGCATGTTGTGTGTTGGACGCCACTGCTTACAGCTGTAGGTTTCTATGAAGATTGAGTGAGTCGGAGCTCATTGCAAACCCAGAGTCATGCTGGAGATGTTGTCGCCGAGGGATATCACCGTGGCGTTTCATCGCAGACCGCCGTAGGAGGCAATCGTGAAGATCCGAGTTGTCGTGGAATCTCGTTGACAACAGATGATGTTGGTGAGCGGCGAGGGCCGCCGTAGGTAACCAAGCCTCCGAGCTTAGTGCCGACTAAGCTGAGGCAATGATGTAGCCCTCAAGCTTAGTGCCCATTAAGCCGTGACTTTGTTTTGAGTCATTCGAGACTTTTTTAGAAATAGACTAGCTCGTTGCCTGTAGACAATGCAAGACCGTATTGAATCGTCAATAGATTCTGTTAGTCTATTAGTAAGCCGAGCACTAGTAGAGAAACGACTTTTGATCCACTTCGAAATTTGGCTTTAGTCCTGATATTTTTCGCGCCCGGGACTAGAGAAACATTTAGTCTCGATCGGTAGCTCCAACCGGGACTAAAGGTCCCTACCCAACGGCTACTGCGGCAGGCTTTTGCTGTAGGGGACCTTTAGTCCCGGTTGGAGCTACCAACCGGGACTAAAGGTTAACTTTTACTCCCGGTTGGTCCCTCCAACCGGGAGTAAAAGTCTACTCCCAGCTGGAGGCTCCGTCCGGGACTAGAAAGTGACTTTAGTCCCGGTTGCTGTCTCCAACAGTTTATGTTAAACGCGGGACTTTCAAAAATTTCCTTGGCAAAAATTTTGCCGCCTCCAACAGTTTCTCTCTCCTCTTCTTCATCTTTATCTTCTCAACATCCTCACGCCAGTGCTGCATCTCATCCTCTGTTCAGTCTTCACTCTCTCTCTTCAATCTCCAATCCACCGGATCTCCTTTTCCAAGCTGTGCGCCATTGTGAGAGCCGAGCTACGACGATGGCTGCACGCCGGCTTGCGGCGCACCAGCCGTGCAGCGGTGGCGTCACGCGGGCCTAGGAGCTGCGTCTCCAGCGAGTTCGTGGCGCAAGCTCTTGCGGCAGCGACACTCTAGGTGTAGTGGATCTGGCTATTTCTGGCCAGGTGATGTGCGCTGTGGTCGCTCTCACGGAGTCCATGCATGCAGCGCTTACGGCAAGTCAAGAAGATAAAGCCCCGTGGAGCCTTGAAGTCATGCTTGGATAAGTGAGGTGAGTACACCAGTAAAATTCCTAATCTCGTTGGCCAAAACTTTGAAACTTTGTCAGAGTAATGTATTTTTTTCCTTTATATTCTTGTTGCGGTTGCATGAATGAATGAAACATTTAATGAGAAGAACAAGAAAGATTATTCATTTTTTATGGGGAGATTGGTTAATTCTTTGCGCTAATCCTTCTATGCAGATTGGTCAATTCTTTGTGCGGGGGATGCATCAATGGATTCCGGCTGTAGCGATGAGCTCGCAACCCACAGTGTGTTTGCTAGTAGTTGTTCGCATGGCCAGCAACGGTTTTTGAAAGTCCCGGTTCCTATCTCCAACAGTTTTTGGAAGTCCCAAGATATGATAGAATATACAATGCAAGCTTTATTATAATATATATATATATATATATATACATATACATATTATATGTACATAAAATAACGTACAATATATAAATGTTCGAACATTATAAGCGTGTAGAATACGTATATTATTAGCAGCGTAGAATGCGTATTAAAAAACCTATTCGAAAACCAAAACGAATCATCAATTGAAAATAGAAACAAAAAAAGGAAAAAAAAAGAAAACATTTAGTCCCGGTTGGTAATAGGGCCGGCCCACGTGGCCAGGCCGGGAGGCCTCTTTAGCCCCGGTTGGTATTACCAACCGGGACACCTTTAGTCCCGGGCGAGAAACCGGGACTAAAGGAGGAGCCCTTTAGTCCTGAATTCGTGCTCCCGGTTGGGAAACCAGGATTGAAGGGGTTTCTCAACCGGGAGTACAGCTTGTTTCTGTACTAGTGGAGTGCCCCAGGGGTTGGCTTGTTTAAGTAACTTTTTTTTATAAAAAGTTGTTTAGACTGTTAATCTGTGAGTAAGATTGTAATATGCATGCGAGGCTTGTATTGTCTTGTATAGTCCTTTTGGAAAAGGTGCTTAAGACGGATTAGCCAAGCTAAAAAGTAGTCAACATAGTCATTATGATTTAAATCATGTTTGACCATTTCGTCGACGTTAAGTGTGTGATAACACTTGTTCAAGGGGCCTTTAATTTGTAGCGATTGTTAGCGAACGAATCAGGTACCTTACTTCCGGGAATCACGCTACCCAGGATGACATAGGATAGTCAGACTAAATGTTGGTAATTGGCTCCCGGCCATAGAGACGTAGGCCGTCCGAGTAGGAGGCGTATCTCGCAAAAAGGCGATATAGCCGAGTATCCAGCGTATGCAACTTGTCAGGATTGCGTGCCGAGTGACGACATCATAGTCAGAGAGATGCGTAGCAGCGTGGACAGCCGCCGTATCTCGTATAAGTAAAGGGTAGCAGTATGAGTACCCGGGAAAGGTGTAAACAACCGCCGGGTTGTGTACCTTATAGGAGGAAGGAACATAGAGATGTGTGGAACGTGGTAGCAGGCCTATCTATGTTAGCGGACGTAGCAGCATGACTACCTGTCTAAGGCGTGAACAACACTAGGTTGTGTGCCTTATATTTGAAACAACAGCCAGAGCTGTTATATGCTGACAACGTGGGCGGGAGCCGTTGTTGTGAGCACTACTACAAAAAGCATTTTTAGGGGCGGCTGGTAACCCTTTGTAGGGACGGTTTGGCCAGCCGCCCCTACCGAACCGTCTCTACAAATCATGCATTTGTAGGGGCGATTCCTAGGCCGCCCCTACAAATCGATTTATAGGGGCGGTTGGTGATTGAGCCGCCTACAAATAGATTTGTAGGGCGGCGGTATTACGAACTGCCCCTATAAATCTATTTGTAGGGGCGGCTCAAGAACCAACCGCCCCTATAAATCTATTTGTAGGGCGAGGCTATAAAGCGCCGCCTCTATAATACCTATTTGTAGGCGGTTCAATCTAGAACTGCCCCTACAGTACGTTTTCCCGCAAAAAAAAAATCAAATTTACAATTCAAATTCGACCAGAACTGTTTGTTTCTGCGTATTCCATCTAGCATCCGCGTTGCTTAACGCCTCATGACCAACGTTCCGAACATGATCGTGTTGCCGAACGCCACGCCGACCAACGTTCGACGCTGCGACTACAAGCACAATAGTATTATATAAAGTACAATTACAAGTCCAATTCGTAATGATATATATATATATCCATCATTAAATATACAAATTTCATACACATTGTTATCAACGTCCTAGAGCTAGCCTTTCGGTCTCACGAAGGTGTTGGTACCGAGGATTTGTACCTAAGTCAGACTCTCGATCATGGTAGGCGCCTCTGACGTGTACAATCTGGTCCAATATGAAGTTGCAAAGGTCGCCGACGAGCTCTAAGAGTTGGTCATCCTTGTATGGGTCTCTTTTCATTCCTTTCTCTTCTCTCCACTACAAGAAAACAAGTTTCAGCTTAGTATTTCATACCATTTATGAAGTTTTTATACTACGGGTGAAGAGGTTCAAACTTACCCTTAAGGGGTGTCTCCTGTGAGGCACCGTGTTACTCATCATAGAACATATATAGTATCCACAATGTACACTCCCGTGCCTCTCGCTTGGGGTACGCGTGTGTTTTGCATATGAAAATATTAGGTAATGCTTTTGACACCATGTAACGGAGTAAAGAAGTAAGTTACACTTACCGCACATAGTGTTTTTATAGCCACTTTTCCTTCCTCATTGGATCATGCCTTCCGTGATGATGAGAGACATAGAACCTAAATGCCCTGCTCAATTATTTTAGCAAATACAACTTGTTAGTATGCATAAGTAAACGTTACAAGTATGTATACGGATATATAAGCTAATGAGGATTGTCGATATGTATACGTCTTGAGAATCGATATGAAGTCTTTGTATGTCGCCGGGTCCTTATCTATTGAATCAAAGACCCATGCCATGCTCTTCCCGACATCGACGGCTATACAAATCCATGGTTTGCTTGCATGGATTTAATCATAGAACTAGATAAGCTCTTTTACATCGAATAAAATATATCGAACATAGCTTTAAGTTATAGTTGAACTTACTTGAAGTTGTATGATAGCCATATAGTAGAGTGTTGTTGGAGATTTTTGAAAGCCAGAGCAATGTATGCCGCAACCTTAAGGGACTCTTCCTTAGCTTCTTTTCTGGATGCGCTTTTTCTCCCGAAGAGTCTTTGCAACTGCTAGCTCTTTGGCATCCAAAGGTCCACCGCTTAGGGTAATTAAAATTTGTTTGGGCTATAGCTTGAGGGTCTACATACCCGGCTTTCACACTTGGCATTTGTTTGACAATGTGCACTTGCATTTTACAAATCACGGCATAGGTTAGTTACAACAAAATTCAAAGATTACATTCATATCATATCGGGAGGACAAGGACTTACAGGAACCACGTGCGAATTAGATTCATCTCCATTTCTCCTGTGTGAAAGCATGTGTGCATGTCATTGAAGTCAAAGACAATTTTCCTACTGGCTTCCAAATGTGCTTGGGAAAGCATGCTTGTATGATATCTATGCTCGTTGGGAGAACACGCAAGTACCAATCATGGAACCTTCTCATTCCAAGTGGTAGGCGCTGGATGTCCTGGTTTGGTAGGAAGGGCTTGCCTCTTTTATATTTTTTTGGGCAATCCTTTGACCATTCGATGGCATCAACAT